GTTTCGTACTCTCTTAGGCCGGCCTTTCCGCGGTGCGGCCGCGGCCGGCAGTCCCCCCCCGTCGGCGCCGCGTACTCCTCTCGGTGAGCTGGAGTACCGGCGCCGACTGTGAGCACTTCCGGGATCGATCCGGGATCGATTTATCGCGTCTTAACCAGACGCGATAAACCGATCCCAGAACATCGATGGCGTGCCGCCGGACCAGCCGGTAAGTGAAGACTAGGCCTAAGATGTGCCCAGAATATGGGCAGTGCAAAAATGGCTTAAAGTTACTTTGCCCCCTATCCCCTTGGGATTACATCTGTGCTGTACCTCCTAGAAGTACTGCAGAGAATTGGACCCAACATCAAAAAGTGTTTTTCTCTACCATCCAGATTAAAGTATTTGATCCTGGACCTATTCCACGGGTTGAATAGTTAATTTTGAATGAAGTGGTCTCCAACATTACCTGGAGTGAAAAAATTTAAAACACATAGTGCTAGTCTGACAGGCATAACAATTTGCACTAATACGATATTACATAACTTCAGCCAAATGAAAAGGAGAGAGAGACACTAACATAAAAACAAATTCATGATCCTAGGATAAAGTAATCCGGAGTAGAAGAAACAGGAGAAAAAGAAAAAACCTACAACATTTCCCCCCATCCAAGTAACTAAATCTGATCTTTAAATGCAAATGTAATTGCTAGAAAATTAAACTTATACATTTTAAAAATTGCATATTTATATTTTTCATACCTATTCAATACATATTTAATTACTATTACCTTTTATCATCCTAAGCATCAGATGCTTAACGAAAAACAGAGGTGGAAGGAGTTTTAATGTAAACTATTGATGCTTTGAGTTTGCTTTTCCTGTTATATTTATATCAGGAGTTAGTGCCAGTCTGAAGAAAGTTATTAAAGGCCCATCTGTTGCTGAGATTTATAAATAAGCTGTAAAACTAATTTTAAAACTAGCACGGGTAACTTTCATGCAATTGTTATTCAGACTAAAACTCCATTAGGTCCCAAACTACAAGATCTGGCCCCATGTTTCATTACCAGTAGAGGAAATAAATTTCAGCCAAACTTTTTGAATTTTTGTTTTAGATTGAAGAGAAAAATAAATCCCTTCCAAAGGATGAAAAGTCTCAGAATTGAATTATGTCGGTGGAAAAATCTTGATTAATGCTTAAAATTGTTTGAGGCAGTATTAATGTGTTCTCTGCAGTTAAGTATGCCATTAAATAAAAAAAATTGCCAGAAAATTGATTCAGATCTAAACTGTTTCATATTTAAAAATTAAGTGCTGGACTTAAATTCAAACTAATTTTCACTGAACAAGGTTAAGTATTCTTATCATAGGAATTATTTTAGGGCAACAAAATTTAAAATACTGAAACTGTTACTTCAGCTTACTTATTGTTGATATTTCTTTAAGCCATTTGTATATAAGATGTATCGAGTAGCCTGTAAATAAAATACCATGAGAACTTCAGCCTTTTTATCCTTGTTTTCCCTCCTTGAAAATCAAATAGCCTATCACAAAATTATTTTACATTTTATTATGATGGAATAGGTTGACTCACCATTCATTTTGGAATCCCACACCTTCAGTAGCGTTCAGTATATTAAAATCTGTAAGCCATCCATTGCTTTTCAAAGCCAGGCAGTCACCATACTCAATTTGTGTATCTAACATTCATAATTTGTGATAATGGGAATGGAATATTAGTACTGCAGTGCTGATGTCACTAACCCATTGTTCACAGGATACTTAAGACTTCAAAGCCAAGTGAAGTGTCACAACTACCAGAATAAAGATAACCTGATTTAATTTCATTTTTTTCCATGTATTTTACATAGTGAAACTGATCAAGAGTCAGTGGGGTCAGGTTAGTAAAAAGGGGAATTCTTTAGTTAGCAGGCCAAATGAGAAGATTTCAGTGTGATTTTTAACATAAGTTCAAATGGCATGAAGAGGTCTTGAATTATGCAGGGTTGGAATCTATTGTAGAACAAAGGGATACATTATTTTACACTTCAAAGCAAGAACATGGGAGAGGTGCAGATCTCTTCAGGGAATTAGGTGACTGGAGAACCTGCTGCCTGAGCTGTTGGTTGATCTCCTGGAACATAGGATATGTAGATCAGTGAGGTATTTTCGAGCCCGCTAAAAGGGAGGATCGATGCATAGGCCAAAATTGATAAAAGCTCCAAATCAGTAATCCAGACTTTTTTTAATTACTGGGTTATTTTCATACCATGGTTGAAGAGAAATGCACAAATCTGGCATGACTTCTAACAATAGCCCTTTCTACACTAGGATGACTTATGAAAAATATCCACTGTTCACATTTTTAATGTCATTGCTGTTACCAGCACTAGGACAACTGCTGCTGCAGCCGCTACAGTGTTAAGGATTTAGCCTTGCAGCTGTCCACCATCATTCTATCAAAGTTGCTAACACAATTGAAGCAGAACCAATGCAAGGAAATTGAAAAATGGATCTAATGTAGACAGTCTCAATAGGTCATTTTTACCCAGAGATTTTTTCTTTAACAAACTTCAACAGCATGACCATCTCTACAGGGTAGTGAGGTAGGAAAGTCTACAGACTAGGTTTCATTTTCCTTCTAAATAAATGCTAAGTATTATTCACAGTGTATTTAGATGGAGTACTTTCTTTCTCTGGTGAAGGGGGGCACGTGATGTACATGTGAGCTAGTCCAGCCCCCACACAGCTAGTCAGTAGAGAGGCAGGAAATGTGTGAATCACAACCTAAGGAAGCACCTGAGGTCAGGAAAAGGAAGCCTTGCTACCAACTATAGTGGAAACCTGAGTCTTCGGTCAAAGATTGAGACCGTTTCTTCTTCAACTGCTGAATGGAAATTGTATCAAGGCCTATGGGAGAGAAACAAGCAACAACAACATAGACTCCTTATTTCAGTACAGAGTTACAAAGGTTAGTAGTATAACAGGATGAAATCAGTTGACAAGAAACAAAGGCAAAGTAACTTGAGCTATAAACTGAAGCATTTTAGTTTTCAAAGAATCATTATGAACCACACAGATGTGCTTTCTTTTATAAGGAATAGTGCATGCAGTTATCCATACACTCATCATTTGAAGCATCTCTAGCAAACCATGAGCTTCTAAGGGTATGGTTACAGTGCATTGTAAACCTGGACTCAAGCTTCAGTTTAAACCTCCCCTTTCAATCTACATACAAATCTCTCAGCCTTGACCTAGGACCCTGTGGGTCTGGAGGGGCCAAGCCAAGCCAGGAACCAGGGTTCAAGACCTATTGAGTTGCAATGTCAACATAGTCCTGCTTGACTCGTGTCCTGGCAACTGGCCAAAAGTATCCCACAATCCCATGGGGCCACCTTCCTTAGTCCTCTCTATCCCAAGAATCCTCAATTGACTCCAATGGAATCGACGTCTCTTGGTGTACTGCAGCAGCTCAGTGAGCCAGCATTAACCCTTCCATTGGCTTCTGACTAGAGACCTGCAAATGCACCATCAGAAAGCTTTCAGCATTTGCAATAGAGACTGACCAGCCTTTTTTGCAAAGCCTGTTGCTTCATAGTCATGGAAACGCAGCCAGATTTTGATTAATCTCTGGTGCAAAGCCAGCAGAACCACAGTAAGCATACTGGAATGATCAAGCATTACCAGCAAATAGTGAAGAAGCTGGCAGCATTGCAAATATATCAGACTTGTAACCAGCGTAGGGAGTGGCTTAAACAGCTCAAGAGTGAGGACAGGAAAACCAGGGATCAGAACCACACAGTTGGCAACTCACCACTATTGTGCCCATTTTATGAGGCATTTCACCAGGTGCTGGGAACAGCCAATGGTGCAGGATGAACTGGTCAGCTGGGATGGCACCCTGCTGGCCTCAGAATCCAGAGTGAGGCCAGCAAAGTGACTCTGTTGCTGAAGAGAGTCCTGTGGGAGGTTTTGCCACAGGAGCAGCAGCACATCCTAGGGCCATATTCGGAGGAGCTGTTCGATGCCTCCCCTCCAAAGAACAGCCTGACTTGGAGCCTGCAGCCGACACGGGTCAGAAGCCATTCCAGAGCCTGGTAAGTTTCTGACTCCATTTAATACAGTAATGGGATGGATTTCCATTCTATGAACCAATGCAAAAGTTATTAGAAGTCCTGGCTAGAAGCATGTATCCACTAACAGGAGATTGTATCCCAGGGGCATGGTTCCCCACCTTCCTCTAACATGGAGTTCCAGATGGTGATTGGGAAATACAAACAGCAAAAATGCCTTGAAAGCGAAAAGGCAGATTTTTGCTAGGCCACTCCTGCTTCTTAAAAATACTAACCTTCCACTGCCATTCCTGTAAGTTTGCCACTCTGTAACCACTCAGCAGCGTAATGAGCCACCTGGAACAGTGAACGGTGTGGGGAGGAGGTAGAAATCCATTCACAAATCTAGTCCATTTAGGTAAAGGTAGTCCAGGCAGTCTATAGGTGACAAAATAATTTGCCTCAAATACGGCTGGGTTTGAAATGAGTCCAGAAATGTGCAGGGTGAGGGGGGAAGGCACGGCAGTGGAGTTACATGTGTTTGCATACAATCATATCTGGTTCAGCCAGGTGGAACCTAACACCAAATCCTGTTGATTCCCTCATGAAGTCTGACCCAATCCCGTATGCTGACAGATGCAAACTCCTCCAGCAGCATGATCTCCAGATAAGTTGGTCACATTTTGGGGAAGGGCGTATGTTCCAGGGCCACTTCGGTAGGTGTCCAGGCCTTTCCACTCAGATGTGCTGTTCAGTCACTGTGCATTTGAATACACTGGATGCATACGCTGCAGTTTTCTCACCAGCAGGTTGAAATAACATCTTTTGCCAGTCGGGCACCACATGCCTGAAATGATTGGAAAAGCCTTTGTAACATGACCACTGACTGCCCACCTCCCATCCCCAGCACAAATAGTTCTGCAATTTTTAGAAAACAAAAACCAGTTTTGAATTTACAACTTACCATTGCATCTGCACCTTTGTTGCTGCGATTAACCAGGCTGTGTCCAGGGAGCTTCTGTGGTCTGAAGCATCCCTCTCACAATATACTGAGGTTCAGTATGGAAAAATAACATTTGATGTCCTCCTGCACTGGGCTATTTGAACCAACTCTTCTCGGTGTCTCAACCTCTAGTGGCTGCTGTGCCTCCACAGTTCAGTAAAAGCCTGGCCCAACATAGCTTTACAGATTGTTCCAAGAGGAAGTGTTTCCGTGATGAACCTATAGTTGAGGTCTGGCCGGGGCCACCAATCAGGTCCAGTACCAAAGACCGAGGGACGTATGGCTCGAGGAAAGGCTGAGGCTGGCTGTGGGGCTTGAGGACAGGCACTTGCTTTGAAGTTTCTGGAACAGGAATGGCAGCTAAGGGAGGAGGCCAAACCTCAGCAGAGAGAACTGTTTGAGCAGCTGATCTCAATAATGGCTACAAAAGTACCGGCTTCTGCTGCATCACTTTTTGTCCCCTGTAAGGTTCTGTTGTTACTGATGTGTTAGTGTAGTAATGGCAGCTGGCCTGCCTGGCAATGGGGGAACGTTGTACTTTTCTAAGACATATTTATAAATAAAGCTTTTTCTGTCCCCAAGAAAGTTTATTGCTATCACTGCATGGCATCAAACAATGTGTATTTAAAATGCTAAAAGGTAACCATATGATCAGGGACATCTAGGAATCCATTAGCAAACACCATTCCTCTATACAGTTAGGTACAGCAACCCACACTTCAATCACAATATGGATTCATATAAGGAAGTCAGTCACCTCCTGCCCCCATTTTGTAAGTGGTCATATCATTCATAAGTACCTTGCATGGCACTCAAGCCCCTATCCCTCCCCAAGCACTGAACCTCCACCCCAAATCCATGAGCCCATCTTCTATTGGGCCAAGCAAGTTTATAGTGAGGGAGCACAAAGCATCCCTGACTTCCATTGCCTGGGTGCATCCAGCTCCAGCAATGGTAGGGCACTTTCTGGCTGAGTGTATTGGTTCAGTGACCCCTCACTGGCATAGGTCCCCTGAAGAAAAGTCTCACAAAGCTTGTGAAGAGCACAGTAACGTGCACAGCATGATTGATCCTGGCATCCAAACAGGTCTGTAGACATTGCCAAGAGGATTTCAATCTGCCAAAAACACTCCAACAACCATTCTACACCCGCTGAGAGCACATTAAACCTTTTGCCAGGGCCTCTTAAGGTTCATATGTCAAGGCAAGAGGGGGCATGCAGTGTCCCCTAGACTAATGGTGGGGATAGTAATACTGTTCATGACAATGTCATTTGGTGGGAATAGTGTCCCAGCCTGTCCATGAATGTAGATTCCTGATCAGCAAAAAGCCCTGCCAACATGAAATTTCCAATGCAGCCCATACTGACATTCATAAATCAGCCTCTGTGTTCCATGAGGGCCCACATAACAATGGATAGTACCCTTTGTGGTTTACTCATGTGCTCCTTGAGGAGGGTAAACTACGGGCACATGAGTCCCAACAATGGCCCCAGTGCAGTTTGGAAACTCCATTCTCTCAAAGCCAGCCATTACTTCAGGAATATCTATTATGCCCGCCACTTTGGGTAAACCACATGCCTGATTGCCTCAGAAACCTCTGCCAACCACTCTACTCACAGTCTATTTCCCAACACCAAACTGGTTGGCCACGTCCTGTTGCAGTCTAGGGTAGCCAGCTTCCAGAGGCCTATAGCAATCCACTTCTGAAGTGGCATGGGTGCCTTCATGCGTGTCTTTGCACTGGAGGGTTGGGGCAAACTGCTCACAAAGCTCCAGAAATGTAGCTTTCTTCATGCAAAAGTTCTGGGCCCATTGTTTGTCATCCACATGATGCTGTGGACCTACCTGTGCTTGTCCTGCTCCAAAAGCGTTGATCTACGTAGGGAGCATCAGCAGCTATAGTGAGTGTAATGAGCAGCATCAGCCAGTTCAAGTCTGCCATGCCTGGGTACTTGTGGTGCTGCTGCCTCCTTTTCCTCCAGCTCCATTATAAAGTTAGACAGGTGCCCTTTGGTGGGTCAGAAAACGCTGCTGAAATGTCCACCAGCATCTCACAGAAGCTTTGCCTGTTCCCTGACACAGGAGTGAAAGCATAAGCAACAGAAGTTCTTCAAATGGTGCCTCCTCCATGTTGCTGTCTCTGGTAGTTGGGAGTGCACAGACCAAAATGATTGCTCAGTAGGCTGGGTTGGCAGGCTGTTCAAACTTCCTCTGATGTGCAGGGTGGACAGTCAAGTTTTCCCACAGTTCACTACAGTCTAAAGGCTAGAGCAGCTACAACACAAGAGGGCATTAGGGAGTCTCGGGACATGGCTGGTTTGACTGGGGTCTGCATGCTGCAGTGTGGACGTCATAGTCCCAAGTTCAAGCCCAGGTTAGAAAATTCTTAATGTAGGGTTGACAATGTGTAGATGCTCAAGCCCTGGATTCTGTAACCCAGGGTCAGCTGACTCGAGTCCTGCTAACATTGCAGTGGAGACATACCCTATATCTCTACATTTACTTTTGCCAGAACACATTTAGAATTTAGACTTTTTCCTCCGTGCAGACTTTCTGGCAGCTACAAGAAGTGTGTGGGAAGATAACTTCCCCCTCCAACTGCACCTGCTGGAAAAAGAGCAGCACAGCCCACAATTCAAAGCTGAAATGTCAGTGCTGCTGTTCCATACAGTCTGAGGGGTTGTGATGTTGAAGTTCATTAATTCACTTCTCATGACTGCTCAGTTCAGGCTTTTTGTAGCTGCCAGCTTAGGGAACCCCCCTAGGCTATAAGATGCATCTCAGTTTGTAAAGTACTGGGAAATAGTCAAGGCACACATCACAAAGCCAGCTAAATTCTGTATGAACAATTCCTGTAAGTGTCAGGGATTGCACGGTGGGCTTAGTGCTGTTTCATTACAGGATGACTCTATGCAGTGCTCAGCCTAATGGGTCATTAGATGAGTGAGTGAATTTTTTGTAAACAAAATATTTTTAAATGTATCAAAACATGGAGAGTAAAAGAAGCCTTAGTGTGCAGTAAACAAAGTAGCTTTTAAACTCTAATCTTAGAGTTGCCTCTGCCTCAAATGTACTGCATTCATACAGTAAAAAATGGCTTTTCTAATTGCCAGTTTTGCAAACTCAACCTGGGACCTGAGAATCAAGTTGCTGTTCATGTATCATCACACATTGAGGATTCTGAAGGAAAAATTCTGTCCTCAGTATAATTGGGGGCAGAATTTGGCCTACAATTGGAACTTAACTAACAGTTCTGCTGATGTCTGAGCCTCTGATGCCATCTCGCTCGCTCTCTCACACTCAGAATAAAAACGTAGTCACTAGATTTGTTGTGTGTGTGTGTGTGTGTGTGTGTGTGTGTGAGAGAGAGGAGCAGATATGACTATGAATACAAAGTGTGCAGGTTTTGTATAGGAAGGAACCATTTTTATATAAGTAGAACCTCAATTTTATGAGCCTCAGTCTTGCAAGCAATTATACAAATAATTTTTCCCCAATGGAAAAAAAAATCACATAATAAAAGTGACATCCCTACATATTCCAATGCCTCTGGCAATGCTTTGCACTGGTTTGAAGGATGAGAACAAAGCGATTCAGGGCACCATTCTGCAACTTTTGCGCTCTAGCTTCTGTAATCTTGTTGTTAAATTTTATGAACTCCTTGGTCCCCAAACAGTTTGTAAAATAGGGGTTCATCGGTTGCTTTACAGTTCAGTTTTAACATGTTTTGCATTATTTCTCCAATGTCTTTTCGCCATAAGATCCACTACTTTAGCCTTTACTTCTGCATACTCTGCTACTTCCACTGTTCTGAGGCATGTTCTAAAATATTTTTCCCACAACAAATGACACCCCACTCCCAGCTGCTGGAATGTCAACTACTCTACATGTATGTTCCACTTTGTCTCCACCCTGAGGTTCCTCTGACCTCTCCTTCCAGACAGGATTCTGCTGCGTCTTTCACTCACTTGCCGTAGCTCTGTAGCCATTCTGGTAGAGAAAGGGGCATTGCTAAGGATAACAGGGGCACCAGCGATTCCCTTGGCTTGGTCTGTTTCCCCCGTGCTCGGATCAAGACAGGGGGCTGGTATTTATAGCCCCTCCTCAACTTTGCAGCATTGCTGGAAAGAACTTTGGGTGCAGTTTCAAGGGCACAAGCGGTGTTTTTCAGGATTTCTTCAGTTTTGTGCCTCATTTATGCAGCACTGAGCATTTTCCAATTAAAATCTCAGCCTGTCTGTCCTCTCATGGATGCCCAGTCATCAGCTTGAGCTACACATGGGTAAAACAGAGCTCCTAATCTTCCCCCCACTTAAGCCCTCCCCACTACTTCCTTTCTTGATCACTGTGAATAACTCTGCCAGCCTGCCTGTCATTCTGGTCTGTAACCTGGGTGTCGTCTTCAACTCAAACCTCTCTTCAGGTCCTCACATTTAGGCAGAATCTAAATATTGCTGATTCTTTCTGCATGACATATCTAAAGGTGTCTACACTAGTATTGGAAGAGGTAAAAATTCCAGCTCAAATTTTTATTATTATTTATTTATTAATTTTTATTTATTATTTATTTAATTTTAGACCTGAGCTAGCATGCTAAAAATAGAGCGCAGCTGCAGTGGACCGAGCAGCAGTAGTGGCTAGCCACTCCAAGTACATACCTATGGTCTTGGATGGGATTGTACTCAGGTGGCTATCCCCTCCTGTTGTGCCACTGTAGCTACACTCTATTTTTAGCATGCTAGCTCCATCAGAGCTAGTGTGGGTATGTCTCCTTGCACTGGAATGTACATCTTCCAGCTCTAGTGTAGATATACAACAAGACACAGCATTTTTTATCCATCCGTCCAGCTAAAACTCTCATCCAAACTCTCAACATCCTGTGACTTGAGTACTGCAACATCCCTCTCTCTGGCCTTGACATATGCAAGCTTGTCCTGCCTGGTCCCACCTATTCAGACTCCTGCTGTAAAGATCATTTTCCCAGCCCATTGTTTTGGCCATGTCATCCCTCTACTATTTCTCCCTTCTATATTTCATCATATATAAGCTGCTTGTCTTCACTTTCAACACCCTTCACAGTCAATCCCCCACTACTGATGGTCTCATTCTCTGTCGACACTCACCTCCGATTGGCCCATGCTGCCAGCTTCCATCGCCCACTTGTTAAATTTTCAAACAAGCACCTTCATGCCTTCTCCCATGCTGCTCCACACACTTGGGAGGAGCTCCCTGTAAACATCCACAAAGCCTCATTACCCTCTTCAAAACACTCCTTTCCCAAGATGCCTACAAAACACTCAACTGCAATTTAGGCTGTTGGTTTGCAGAGACCACTGCCTGCCAAGCTGACCAATAGTGTGATTGATTGTTTGCACTCTCTTGTCTGTACCCATCTTGTCTTATACTTGAGTTGTAAGCTCCTGGGACAGGGACTGACTTTTTGTTATGTTTGTACTGCGCCTACCACAATGGAGACCAGGTCCATGACTCGGGCTCCTAGGTACAATGCTAACAATGTAATTTGTAACTAATACAAATGTCTTCCAGGGAGCTCTTCCTGAAGGGTGAGTTGGAAGTAGCCTGGAGATTTCCCTTCTTTTAGCTTTTTCCTCCCCATGCTGAAATAATAGCAATGCCACCACTGTGACCTGGAAGGGCCTCTCTCACACCAGCCCAACAGCAGTCTAGGCCTTGACAAAGGATTGAAGCCAGGATCAAGGGCAACTCAGGTGCATTGGGCTGCTTTCTGTCAGTGGTTCCCCCCCCCCCCCCGCAATGCCTTATCCCTCCATTGGTGCTATAGCTACTTACAGTAGGACTTCAGAGCAAAGTTAGATTTTCTCCCCTGCTCAAATGTGGCCAGATACACGAATATTGCCTAGAAGCTCAAAAGTCAAAAAGTTAATAGAGGTGGATGATCTACCTGCATCGTGGCTCCTTCTCTGCAGGAGACTGGAGAGGTTACCAGCCAGGGCAAGAAACATTTTGCACAGAATAAATTATCCAGCCATTTACCAAGAGCCCTAGTATCCATATCCACACACCTTCAGGATTCTGTCCACCTCACTATTGTCTGGGTATTCATGCAGATACCTTTCCTTTAAATGTGGTCTCCCTTGCCAAATTGGGGACCTCCATCCCACCACCAAAAAGGGAAAAAAAACCTTTAAGTCTTATCCCATTCTTTTTTCACCAGGTTAAGTGATGTGACTGTTGGTTGGTACTATAGCAATACTGGGACTAGCCTTCTCATCCATTGTCTCAAATTCTTCCATATACCACCAGACTGGAGAGAAAGGGTCTGTGTAGCATACTTTCTGGAGCTCCTGCCCAAACCCCTTTCCTTGGTCCATTCACTGATGAAACTGTCATGCAGCAAGAAGGAAAGAAGCAACTAAAGAACGGGATCTGACATGGAGAACTTAGCTTTTGTGTGAAGGAGGATGTCAAATGGTTCAGAGTATCCACAGGGAAAACATCAAGCATCATCCAACCTTCCCCATCCTTCTAAAGAGAGGAAGGCTCAAAATTCTTCAACCAAGAAACCAATGAACATCTACCAGCATGTTTGCCACAGAGAGAATTTCGAACATAGCCAAAACAACCAGTTTTGCCCTTCCTCTCCAACTGATCCAGGAACGATCTTTCTGGTCCCATCCAACAAGATCATCAGACCACCTTTCCATCTTTCTCCACTGGACTGAAACCTAACGTGCCCTACAATTCCCTCTTCCAGGGAAAATAAATGAAAGTTTCACCTTCACACTCAATATAAAGATGCAAGAAATTTTTTTAAAAGTCTCCCCTTCACCTAACTCAGGATTTGGCACTTTCAGAGGAACTTATCTCCATGTTCCCATTGTTCTATTAGCAGTACTTCTTCCATCCCACAATCCAAACTGAATGCTCAGGGTACAGGAAAGGTCCCAGTGTTTTCTCTACAATCCTCAATAATCAAGTCCCTTCACAATTAGAGAGGGATCCTCTTAAGGATAAGCCTCTAGAGCAGATGCATCCTCTATCATCTTTTCTACAGAGAACATTTTAAGAGAAGCAGAACTTATGGTACTATGGAAATGGTCAAGAAGCAATAACAAACAACAAGAAACCACCCCTTTCTAGGGCCTTTAAGCAGTGTGGGGAAAAAGAACTGGGTAACCTTCTTTTTGACAGCCAAAATAACATCAAAGGCCCAAAATCAGGCTTGAAAGAGGCTCAATATACTGACTGCCCTTGCAAAAGGCAGTACAGGCCAGGGCCTGAACAAGACTAAGCTGTACAATTCCCTGCCAAATACAGTCAAGGGTTATGACCAGAGGAGGGAGGGGAGGGAGCAATGCGAAAGGCCTCAGCAACAGAGTAACCGCTTGTTTCTGAAACATGATAACCGCTTGTTTATGAAACATAATAGCTGCCTATATGAAGAAATTGCTTCTAGTAAAGGCCAACTTCTCCTCTAGTTCCAACTAACTGCCAAACTAGCCAATCATATATCTTCTTTGGGCGTCCCGTGATAAACCCCTATGCCCTTAACCGTAAAACCCCGGAAAGATAATACGTACCTTAACAAGAAAAACCCTCCAACTGGTGCCAAGTACCACCCATGGCGGAAATCACCAAGAACCCCCCCACCGAATAGGCACCCAATTCTCGTAAAATAATGAGGAAGGTACCGGGAAAAAGGGACAGACCCCAACTCTTATTTCACACAAATGACGTATTATTTGTACTATGCTTGCGGTTTGACGGAATAAAAGCAGCCTGCTGTGCTAGGGGTGGTAGTTTTCGGACTGCTACCCCAACGCGTTGGTATGTATTGCAATAAACTGGCCTCAGGCTTGAGTCTGTGAACTAAAATCAATGCGTGGGTGACTTTTTCCATGACAGCAGTCATCAATGCCCTTGTGAAATTGTTCCATGAGATTCCCCTGAACATTATACCTATCTGTATGGAAAGAATAGGACAAGTATGACATATCAACTTGAATTTTTAATCCATCATAATCCTCTCCTAACAGTTTATGTTCTAGTTTGGTTAAACCTGCCAGCCAACTTGCTTAGCAGTAGGGGATTGAGTGCTCAGTGAGAAGTCTTTTTAATTTACTAGTGTCCATTTGGAGCCTGAAACATATTCCCCTCCCATTGATATTCACAAGCATGTGAGACAGGATGATTCTCTATTGTGGGCAGACCCGATGGTTTGTGAATATTGTCTTCATGGTCAAGAGGCAGGGAAGATCACATCAGAACAAGGCTTTTGTCAACCTGATTGCTCCATCCTGAGGCTCTGGTCCTGCAGATTACTACATATGTTGATGATATTTACTACATATTTTACTCCTGGGGGAATTCTGCGTCACTGTGTGTGCACAGAATTCATAGCCCCTGCAGATTTCTTTGCTTACCCGCAGAAAAATGACTTCTGACAGGGAAGCAAAGGGAAGCCACGAGGGTGGTCATGTGCTCAGTCCCTGGCAGTGCAGACAGATGGGTTTGGGCACCCAGAAGAGATGTAAATCACTGCCGGGGGGAGGGGGTAGTGGAGAGAAAGAGAGAGAGAGAGAGTGAGTGTGTCTGTGTGTAAGAGAGAGAGACACACTCTGTCCCTCTCACTCACTATTGCAGCACGCTTGGCATGGAGGGCTTTGGGGTATTTTTCAAGAGGTAGGTGTGGGGTAGGCTCTGCTCCCTCAGGCAGAGGAGAACATAGCAGCCTGCCTGCTTAGTGAATTATTCCCATTGTTCTTAGTGAATTCCCCCAGGAGTATAAAACAGATGTAGAAATGTTAAGGCTCCTTTATATTGCCAGGGTGGTGTAAAGGAGCCTTTATTGTAAAGGAGAGTATGGCCTTATAAATGCTTATGGTGCTTTAGTGATTACAACTGGTCTAAATTTTTGAACTGAAAAAATTCCCTGTCAAAATGTGCTTCATGAACTGTTTACTACTGACCTTTCTAGAGATGGGCAGTAGCCAGTATAAATTGTGAGTTTGAGTCCCCAGCCCTCACTTGCTCTTCAGTTGTCTATGATGTAACACTGAGCATATGGCTGCATATATTTGTTGACTAATAATTAGAAGTAAAGGATCAATACTAGCCACATTACTATTAGACAGAGGGGTTTGGTGATTTCCTCCAATGCTCCCCACTCCCATTTTCCATCCATTGTATTGTACTTTAAATAAATTACCAAAATAATTGAACTAGCTGGATTATATTGCATTATTTTGACAAAAAATACGCAGAATTTTAATTTAATTTTTTTGGTGCAGAATTCTCCCAGGAGTAATATTTGCGGATTCTGAAACTGAAGTCCATTCACCAAGCTCCTCAGTCATCCAGAGCTCCACAGGCTGAGGCTTATAACCATGTATGGAGAGTGTTATTCAGACAGGAATACTCTAGGAGGCTGGTTGACCTCCTTTGTAAACCCAAAGGTTTGTGCTATACTGACTATTGAGCAATATTTGGAGACTGTAGTTCTCATGGTCATCCTACCTCATTGGTACCGATCATTCTTTTATCTAGGAAGAAATTGTTTTGAGTCTGAGGATTTCACAAGTTCTGCTTCAAGCTTCTATTACCTATGGACCTTCATAATTTATTATTCCCTAATTTTGAAGATGTTTGGACTCTGCTGGCAACCTCCTAGATATAATATCCATACTAGTGGATCTTATAAAGGGGAAAGGTCAAATTAATTTTCTTACATGTCATTTTCTACAAGTAGGATCTGCTACTCTGGCCACGTCCACCCTATTAGCTCTGTTGATGACTACTTAGCAGTCATGAATTACATTGTGGAAAGAGAAATGTTAGTATGGATTTAAAAAACAAAACAAAAAACCCTCTACCCCACATCTTCAATTTAGTGTATGTTCACATGTTCCAGTCTTGTATCTCTTTGGAAGCCTCCACTAGAGTTACACAGGCAGTGTAGTAAATGTGCCAGCAAGAGGAACTGGTGATTTCTAAAGACAGGAGGAGGAACAGGAACTCTTAGTACCTGCTTCGGAGATTCAGTAGAAGTGGCAGAATAGCCAGAATAATGGATCTCACTTTTAAAAAGTAAAATTATAGGCAAGAAAACCAGGTCAACTTAAGCATTTATTATTCCACCCAAAAAGTTACACTGAGAATATTAGGGATGCCGTTAAGCACGCCAAAATTAGGAAATGGCTAAGTCTGCACATGCCCTGTTGTGCTGATGCATTACAATAGTCTTTGCACGATCATACACTATTGCTCAAAAAATAAAATTTAACAGATTTATGTGCAAGTGTAGCATCTTGTAATGTTTTCTTCATTAATTTTATAGTTATTATGGTCCAATACATCTATTGACTTAGAGTATAGTCTTCAAAGGTGCTCAGCATTTGGCAATGATCACTGAATTCACACCATGAAAGTCAATGTGAAGACATCCTATGACTTCAGCAGGCTTTGGATCAGGCCCTAACTGATCAGTTCTCTTCTCTCAACACGCTATTGCAGTGGTTTCCCTCCATCACCACATTAGGAGGATTTTGTTCTTTTCTAGATGTCCCTCTTAATACTGTATGTAGCTGGAGTTTTTTTTTAATTCAACAGAAACACATATACACCACTGCATTAACATTTGTTTGATTTTCTTGTTTAACACTCTTAACAAAGTATCACTTCTCTGTAGTTTTCATGTGACCTATCCTCAAACTTTCCTAAGGAAGTTAATTACTTTATCCAAGTACTAGATGCATGTTCTTTAATATAATGTCTTTTTAATGAGCGAGAATTTCTTTGTAGAATTTTGTCCTTATATATTATTTTTTCAAATCTTACCATTATATTTCTAAGTAAATCAAAAACTGAATTTTTCCATAAGTATCTGTTTTCCCTCCTAGGTGTGAAATACCTCATATTGTTATGTAGTAAGTACTTTTTAAAATACCAAGAAGTATTTTCTTGAAATGTTGCTGAATGCTACAGTGAATGAAAGTTAATGTAATTTTAAACCATATAAATGGCAGGACACCTTTCTCCTAGTCTTATATTTCACCAACAGTATATTGTGCAGCCTCTTTGAATATGTGATAGTACAAGGTGGCACATCTACTTATGCAAATGTTGGAAAGGTAGGAAACGTTATATATTTGAGACAGAATATAATCATGTAATTTGCTGAACGATAATGCATGTACAGTGTTAGCTGGGGTCCTTGGGCTCAGAATAACATACAGTCTCAACAGGAGCTCTTGCCAGAACCCTAGCACAGGTGACTAGACAGTTCACTGTGAAGGTGACAGTGTTGGGTATGCACATCTTGATCAGCCTTCCTTAGGGTCACACAATAATCTTAATGAATGTATCTACTGTATATGCTCCTAACCAGACTTTCAAATGTACAGACGTTAGTGGATCAAAGAACTTCCTCAGGAATAAGGCTGTGCACCTCTGAGATGATGATTTAATGTCAAAACCTCAGCAGTCAAACCTCAGGTGATTTTCCTACAAGAAGGTTCAAAAGACGCAAAAGATTTTATTTTATATTATAGCAAGAAACATTTTTCTCGCTTTTTTACAGATCCAACAATGGCTGAATCAATTTTACTCAAACCAAATCAAACCCCCTTCAAGCAGAGACCAAATATCAGCACAAAAGTAATGACCGCTCAGACCTTTCTGACACAAGAATGATCAAGGCCCTATTTTAGCTAATTAAATATTATGCTTAGGGCTGTAAACACTTGGATGAGGAGAACATGATTGAACCATTTATCCCAGAGGTAGTTTGGAACAGGAGCAAACCACATGGCCTGAAAAGCAGGGTGGAGATTCAGGAGCCAAATCTGTCTGCTAGGCATTCACTCAGTATCAGCCAGTATCAGCCTCACGGGTGGTTCAGCTGTTTTATGCTGCATTAGATTCCTGCAATTAGCTGTGACCCTCTGGTGGTATGTAAATGGGCAAGTTAATGCTGACTTCTTCCTTTGTAACGTTTAAGATGACTATTTATTTTAATGCCATGTTGTAGGAGAACATGCTTTTTACAGCATCATTTCTCCACATCCTTCTCTCTTCTGTCTAGCTGTTAGCCCTGGGTAATGCATACTGTGGGGTGGTGGCAGACTAATACACATGGTAGCCCCATTACCTTCTCATGCCTTCCTAACCTCTTTAGGGTGTGGATTGTACCCCTCTAATTCCAACAGCAGAGCTTAGAGGGAAGAGAGAGAGAAAACAATGTCAGCCTTCAACTGGTATACAGATTAACAGGTCCAACTTGCTTAGGCAAGAAGTGCTACTGCTGAGTTATCTGGTCTCAAACTACTGGCAGGAGGTCACAGACTTTGGAGGCAAAAGAGCAGAAGCAAGTACGCTGGTAAAATGTTCACATAGTGGAGTAGAGTGTGAAGACAAGGTTTCCTGTAAATCTGGCTTTCTGTACAGATCCCAAAGTCTAAAGCTCTGAGTTCCAGGTCTCCCTGATCTATACATGTCATTTCTTTTAGGCAGAGGCATTGGTTACTTTCCAGATTTTCTTGCAGTGTATTTCCTTGTGAATCACAAGATTGTAGCAAATGTCTTAGTTGTTGTCTCGAGGGGACTGATAGACATCAACCAAACCAGGAGATACTTGAGAAAAATAGAGTATCTATGGCCTGGTCTACATTAGGGGTGGGGATCGATCTAAGTTATGCAACTTCAGCTATGTGAATAATGTAGCTGAAGTCGATGTACTTAGATCGACTTGTCTTCACTGCAGTGAGTCGACTGCTGCCGCTCCCCCGTCGACTCTGCCTGCATCTCTTGCGGCGGTGGAGTACAGGAATCTATGGGAGAGCGCTCGGAGGTCGATTTAAATCAACCCCCACTGGATCGATCGCTGCCCGCCGATACGGCGGGTAGTGTAGCCATACCCTATGTGACCCTGATCACCACAGTATCCGAATGCCTCACAAATCTTTAATCTATTCACCCTCACAATAGTTCAGAGAGAGAGAGAAGTGCTACTACTTTCATTTTGCAGCTGAGGAAATGAGGTACAGGGAGACTATGATGTATCCAAGGTCAATGCAGTCTGTGGCAAAGCAGAGAACTGAACACAGGCTTCCTAAGTCAGAGTCTAGCACCTAAAGGATGGTGCAGTGGTTACTTTGCCTGTGTCATGAGACTGAATGCAGGGATGAGCAGTTGCGTGTGTTCCTTACATTTCTCCTGATGAAGCATCTGTACAGCACTGATTAATTTGTTCTTAATTTTTAACAGCTGAGGCAAAACATTAGTCTTTTCCCTGGGGATTGTCTTTTCCCAGTGATTCTAAAAAAGCTGGTTCTCTACTACTACTTCTAAGCCAATAACCTTGACATTTCTGTGTCCAAATTATATTGTAAAGTGACTTGCTCCAGGTCACAGAGTGAGTCAGCATTACCAAACTCGTCATTTTATACTTTGATCTTGTTATTCCTTTTGAAGTGTTGGGCATTCAACTATTCCCTATACCAGACTAATATGAAGACATTTCTCATGTAGAAGAAAGGATGATCCGGTGGTTAGGGCATTAGCCTGGGATTTGGAAGACCTTCATTCAATTCCTTGCTCTGTCACGATCGTATGACCTTGGGTAATGCAGTGTTGGGTAAATCACTTAAGCCTAAATCCCTTTTGAGGTTGTGAGGTCTAGTCTCTCAGGGCCTCAGTTCCCCATCTGTAAAATGGGGATAATAGTTCCCTATTTAACAGGAGGGTTGAGGGGATAAATACATGAAAAGACTGTGAGGTGCTCAGATACTACGGTAATGGGGGCACACAAGTATCTAAGATACACAGAATCTGCTGAACTTCAGTTCCACTAAGGATTGGACCTTCTTTACAGGTGACATTCTTCCTCATTTTGGTTTTCCCCCCATTTGGATTCATTGTATAGTCAACTGATCCAACATGCAAAGAAACCACATGAAAGGAACTGTCCAACTCTATGATCTCAAACTACTATTTATGGTTAAGATGTTAGGACTCAAGACAGAGAAGTGGCCACTAATTCTGATTGGGTTTCATACCTAAATCAAGTTCTAGCTACATTACTACTGGAACATGATATGCAGCATGAGCTATCCTACTAATTACAAAACTAAATTAATCACAAATTAGTCCATTACCTTAATTGTTAAACAAAGACACCACTGGTCTGGGAAACTGCTGCTTTTTATTACTTACTTTTATGATTGTAAATAACTTTAAATTTTGTCTTACCCCCCACAAAAGAGAGACAAAATACCTAAACAGAATTTTTATTTCGTAAATTTAGTATTTAATTCTTTCACAGTGAAAGATGTCTGACTAGTTCAGCCTTCTTTCCATTCTGATCTTAGTTTTACTGGTATTCTATTGCCATTTAGACAGTGGTTCTCAACCCTTTGGGGCTCAGGATCCATTTTTAAACCTCGATGGCCTGTCCCAACCCAGTAAATAGTGTAATGCTTAAAAAAACAAAACAAAACAAAACCTGGCTTACTAAATATTTCTTACCTAATGTATTATATCTACATTAACATATGTACTAAATAAGTACACCATGCATACCATAGCAGCAACTTCAGAGCTCTTGTCCCAGGGGACTGACCAGGCACTGTGCTCCCTACTCTGGCTTCAAAGCGCAACTCACCCAAATTTGTGAGTAGCATTGCGGTTGCACCACCATTCACCCAGCATGGGGACAGCTAGGCCAAACCTGAGCAGTGCTAAAACCCAATGCCCGGAGTGGGGAGCCAAGCCCAGGCAGCTTCCTGGGACTTGGGCCACAGGAGCTGCTGCTGTGGGGTGAGTGCAGAGTGGGCTCTGCAACACTCCTGGCCAAGGCCTTCTTCCTCCACCATGGGCAGGACCTGACTCTTCCCTCTCTTCCCTCCCCCCCCCCCGCCCAAGATCCTCACAGCCTACTAGGAGCAAGACCAGAATCCTGTCCCACCCCTTCCCAGGCCTCCCACATTCTGGGACCCTGTTACACATTCTGGTCATCTACTTTTCATCTGCAACCCCGTGAGTTGAGAAACTCTGATTTAGATCATATAGCAGTCAAACAGCAAAATCCAGAGGGTGCTAGAAGCACAGTGAAAGTGCAAAAAAGGTTATCCCTCCCCACTCTACAAGTCAGATTCTCCATTAGCTAGGAGCACTTCTTCTCAACTGGCCACTTAATTGGGTAGCCTGGTGAGAGGCAGTGCTTTTATAAGGCTGCCTGCATGGGGGAAACCTCCCCTATATCTAGGCCACAAGGAAGCAAATGGTTTAGAGGTTAATTAAGATTAACAAGCTCTTTGTGGTAGGGAACCTGTCTCTGTCACTCTGCAAGTGCTAAGCAAACAACAGCCGTGAGAATTCTTCTGATCTATGTTCCCAAAAAGTGCACGTCAAAAAATAAAAACAATGAATATATATTTTTTAAAAGTGAGCTTTCAGGTTATTTGGTTATACCGTAGCAGCAAGGGTAAGAATGGCACTTGACATATACTAAATTTTGGTGTGTGTAGAAAACAACTTACCTTTATTATTTTTCTTTCTAGATCCCTTTTGTAATTGTGGATTGCAGATTCCTTCTCTGAGATGTCCAAGCACACACTATGTTTGCTTTGTCACAGCCAGCATAGATCAGCACAGGACACTGGAGTAAAGCCACAGGACAGGCAAGTTGGAAGGGGTTTTATTTTTTTTTAAATTGACACATTTGCAATTAAAATTATTTTATGCCTTTTGATAACATGAAAACAAATTTTGCAAACTGTATTTCTTTGCATTAAAAGTTCATCCTTTGTTCAGCCTCCATCATAAGGTAAAAAGGTGGAAGTTTGCTTCCTTTCTGAGTTAGCTGATTTCATTAAATGTGAATAGGAGAGGCTAGAAAGGCCATTAAGAGAGAGCGTGAGAGAAAGCATCCTAGTGTTTTGCTCCAAAAGAGAGAATGAAAGCACCGCCGTGTCCGGAATTGTATAAAATGGAAACCAAGTATGACAGCTGTCTTGCTAGACCAATGAAAGAGGATGACTGAGGCAAAAGAGAATCATTGATTTGCTTTGCTGATTGTAATGTAAAGCAACATATGGCCTTTTTCCACACGAGGAATTTTTTTAACTATGTAGCTGGACTTTTAACTGGAAACTTATATTAACTACTATTTATACCACTACTTCAACTAGCTATCAGTGTATGCTTCCAAAGTGTTTGTATAAGGAATTCCATATGGTAATAAAGGGAAAAGAGAGATGCAGTTTTGAGGAAAGATCTGGATAGCCATGCTCTATTACTAAGTGTTCCTGGAAAAGGATAAAAAGGAATTGAGTACACAGAACAAGAAAGTTGGCAAACATCCAGACAGGGAAGTAAGGGATAGTGTGGATGGATAACTGGTGGAACATTACCATTTATGTTGACACACACTTCTGATGTTGATGGAAGCATGGAAAAGGGCAATTTACCATACTCTTTGATGGGGAGAAATATCACCAGAGGGAAAAATCCCAAACTACAAAATATTTCTTGGTGAGACAGCCAGATTTTTTCCTTGAAAACTTGTTAGCTTTAGAGAAGAGAAAAATCATACTACTAATTATCCTCCCAGATTTTTAAAAAACAAGTTTGACCTTGATCCTGCAAACACTTTAAATATGTGAGTACCTTTGTTGGCTTCAGTGAGACTATGTGTGCTTAAACTTATGTCAGAAATTTCCGAGTGCTATTCAGTCAGAATAGAGAAGGGGTTTTCTTGTCTCTGGCTGCTGAAGTCTTTTGAAAGACTAGCGCGCCCCTTTCTAAAAATATTGTTTCATGTTCTTGGGAATTGGTTTAGTTTAGGCGTTCTCAAACTTTATTGCACTGCGACCCCGATAACATAAATTACTACACGACCCCAGGAGAGGAGACCAAAACCTGAGTCTGCCTTAGTCCCACCGCTCCAGGGCAGGGTGCCAAAGCCCAAAAGGCGTCAGCCCCAGACAGGGGGCCTGTAGCCTGAGCTCTGCTGCCCATGGGCCCCAGCAAGTCTAATGCCAGCCCTGGCAACCCCATTAAAATAGGGTTGCAACCCACTTTGGGGTCCTGACCCACAGTTTGAGAACTGCTGGTAGTTGATAGGTGGAAATTACTTACAAAAAGAATTTTCGGATTTCAAATCCAGGTGCTTTTCTGGTACTATTAAAGCCAGGGATGAGTGGCTGTAGGGCTAGAGGATACAATTTAAAGTATCCAAGGGGCATTTCATTTTGCAAAGGGGACCAATATGTACTGAGGCACAAATGAGAGTTCTGTGACTGAGTGAGGAAAGTTGTACATGCAACTATTTTTGTGTGCCCAACAGTGTAATATATGTAGGAAAATTCAAAGCCAACCCATTCCTGTAGAGTGACAAGACATGAGTAACCACTCTAGCTATAGTCCCAATAGAAGAAATCAAATAATTCATACATGGAATAAGAAGACAGCGTCACACTTTAATCAATCAGCATACTATGTGCATGCCAGCAAAGGAAAAAATATTGAAAGAGAAAATAAAAACTCTTTTTACTGTTAAGTGATCTCCTGTAGCTGTAAGATGTCATTATATAAACCGCTACCTTGATATAACGCAACCCGATATAACACGAATTCGAATATAATGCGGTAAAACAGTGCTCCGGGGAGGCGGGGCTGCGCGCTCCGGTGGATCAAAGCAAGTTCAATATAATGCCGTTTCACCTATAACGCAGTAAGATTTTTTGGCTCCTGAGGACAGCATTATATCGAGGTAGAGGTATACTTGATGCAGGAACTGACAACATGCAAACCCCACAGCAATATTCAGTTAAAACATTTCAACTAAGGCTAGTTTACCAATGCAAAACCTATTGTTCTTAAGTAAGATCAGTAATTAAGGCTTTGTTGCTGCTGCCGCCAATGAGATACATGAGAAATTTCAGATGAAGAATGCATATTGTAATTGAACTGAGAATTTAAACAAGGCAGAATCAACAACAGTAAGTTTTAATTCTTCTTGGTCCCAGGATATTAGAGACACAAGGTGGGGGAAGATATTTTATTGAACCAACTCCTGTTGGTGAAAACAACAAGGTTTCGAACGTACACAGAGCTATTCTTCAGATATTACCTCACCCACCTTCTCTCTCCAAGTTTTAATTCTGACAAAGAGATTGTTTAAGTCACTCAAATCAATCCAAGATTTCATTCAATAGAGCAGCATTGGTTTGCTGTCATGTTGTAGGATTCCATAGGCTGGAGAGAAACAGATCCAGCGCTCACATTCAGAGAAATTATTCCTTTAGGCTCCAAATCAGTTAGGTACATAAGCATGTGAGTAGTCCTCTGGACATGAATTATGGCTTTAATTAGGAATTTTAGTAATTACAATTAGTAGGGTTTTTGTTTTTAAATGAGAGCTTCAACAGCAGGTGGTTTGCATTTCTCTTTCTTGAAGTTCCTCTTTAAATACATCATTAAATTAGAAAAAACAAGTCCAATTCAGTGCAACATTATGGCTGCACAATCAGTCACTAAAAGGCAAAAAATGAAATAATTAAGGTTCCAACAGTAACGTTAACTTGGCTTCATTACACCTACTGTATGTCTTATGATATATATCTTTTTATATCATACATAACTGGAAAACAGTTGTAAAATAGAATACACAGATGCAACATCTATGTTCATGTTGTTTTTGGAACCTTGAATTCTGCACTTCCTGACTTTAGGTGACTTTAAGCAAACAACCTTAATAGTGCATTAAGTAATTTTTTCACTTTATTTCTGAATTTTTTCTAAAGAAAAGAAAAAATCTAAGGTAGGGTTAATGTTTAAGTTGTTGACGTATGCTGACATCTGTAAACTCTTTCAAGAGCTTAAGCCACATATAATACAGTTTACTCTAAAAACAACTGGTCTAAAGCTTACATTGCGAGGTTGCATGTTTGTTTCTCAATAACATGTAAAATTTTGCTCCGTTTACAAGATTTTTTTTTTTTTTTAAATCCAATCCTCCCATCTGAAACCCTGCCAGGCTTGCAAACTCAACTTGTGATCTGAAAGTCAAGCTGTTTTTCTTTCCATCTTGTTAACTATGGTCAATAATGAATTGTGCAGAACAATTTTGGTCCTGTTACATCTGTGCAACTCCAATGTTATCTTCTACTTTCTTTCACCCTTGACAAATTCCTTTGACCTCAATAGGGTGAGACTATAACCTTGCAACTCTCACTTTTAACAATTCCGTTGATTATGCCCCAACCCAGTAAGGAATCCAGCCAATTCTTCTATAGCTCTAGTGATTCTGCAGTATTGACAGGAATAAAAAGTACTACAAGTTTCTCTTTCTAAATTAAGTAGATATTACTGAAAAAGACATGGACCAAGTCCATTGAGTAAGAGAGGACAATTTTTACAGAGTTACTCTTGAGACTAGAGCCTCATATTAGGGGCATCTAGCCCTCGAAATACACTGAAAAGTGTACATGTAAAACAAAACAGTACACTTAAAAACAAAACAAAAAATATGCATGCAAGGTGTTATAACCTTAAATATAGCACCTATCTAGTGCTTGTTATCAATTTTTATGTTTATTATATAATGAAAGTGGAATGCAGGTGATTTACAATTTAGACTAGATTGTTAGTTATGCATGTAATTAATATGACTGGATAAGAATTGTGTGTACAATTTTGCATGTGCAACTGCTTGTGTGCACTTCTAAAAATGTGGGCCTTAATATTTTCTAAAATGTTAATGTACATGTATTGTAAATTCCTTTGAATTGGCTTGCAGAGAGTAACATGGCAACAATTTATTGTTTACATTACTTCCATACATGTATCATTTAAATCAAAGGACTGGTGACCAGAGGAAAAAGAAACTGTACCCTTTTTTGTTTTTATTTTGAATCAATTTTGTATACTTAAGCTGTATACTCTTACTGTTATGACATGGGGGAAAAAGTGTGCTCCAGTATAAAATAACATCCTGCTAAAAACTTTTAATGCAACAATTCATGGTAAATTTGGCCACTGTAAATCACATTTGACGTGTTCAGTCTATCTCAGGGGTAGGCAACCTATGGCATGCGTGCCAAAAGTGGCACGGGAGCTGATTTTCAGTGGCACTCTCACTGCCCGGGTCCTGGCCACCGGTCCTGGGGGCTCTGCATTTTAATTTAATGTTAAATGAAGCTTCTTAAACATTTTAAAAACCTTATTTACTTTACATACAATAGTTTAGTTATATGTTATATACTTACAGAAAGAGACCTTCTAAAAATGTTAACATGTATTACTGGCACCCAAAACCTTAAATTAGAGTGAATAAATGAAGACTCGGCACACCACTTCTGAAAGGTTGCCAACCCCTGATCTATCTTCAGACAAAGGCTTTCCTATAGAAAAATGTCCAAAAGTCATATAGTAAATATTAACTTGAGCAACTAAGGAGTACAGAGAACAGTTATTTTAGAAAGGTCTCACTGCCAAGAAAACGGTTAACAACAAACTGTAATCAAACTATATTGCTGGAATGTTATAAAAATTTTCATATATGCCAAATAAACACTCAGGACTATGGAATATATTAGAAAACACTCAGATTTTGCTTTCAGGCTAATGGAAAATAAGAACGCAATGATTTTTTCCATAAGACAGAGCAACTGGTTGGCTACACTATAGATTTCTTCAGTTATAAAACTTCTGCTTATAAAGAGAAAAAAAAAGCCCCTTGAAATTAATGACTAATACTGCTAATGACTGTCTTATTCAGTGCTAATTGCTTGGGAATCCTCCAGTGGAAACTACAATAATTAAACAGATTGCTGACTAAATCATTTCCAGGTGCAGTAAAATTTACTAGTACAAGTATTCCAGTTCTTATTTTTGAGAAAGTTATGGGGCAACCTAAACTTTTGCACTTTCCTCCATGCAAAATTAACAAAAGAAGTCTTATTACACTAATGTAACATTTAGTTCCTGCACAGACTTTAAAAATGGGTACTAAGGATGAAATCCTGGCTCTAATGAAGGCAATGGGAGTTTTATCATTGACTTCAGTGGGGCCAGAATTTCACTTTATATCTTTTAATTTTATTTTAAAGAAACAAAATTCCATTTATCCAGCACAATAGGTAAATAGTTGTTTTTACTCTCTGTATTTCAAGAAACTTATTTTTACCCAAATTTCCTAAAATGATGAGTGGTACAGATATGTAGACAAGTATTGCACATTTTAGTAAAGAAATCATGAAGATTCTCAATGGTTTTAAACTGTTGCATGCTAGCAATGTGAGAAACCTCCACTGGATTTATTTTGCAAAAAGATAAGATTGCCTGAGGGCATCTACAAGCTCTTTGTAGCAGAAATGGCGGTCACTTACTAGAAAGATACCCCAGGAAAATAAATGAAAGCAGCTATGCAGGCTTGGACAAGGCTATAGGATACAATTAATGAGCAATTACATTAGGGAGGGTGCTATGTAGATGCCCACAGCAGAATCAGATATCACCGGTTACAGCTGGTATTTTTGTGGAAAAAACGTATTAAAAAAGCTACCAGATTAAAAACCAAACAAACCCTGAAATCAGAAGCAATGTCTAGTAATTAGAGGATGGGACTGAAGTTCAATAACTCAAGTCTTATTCCCCGTTCTGCCACTGAATATCAGAGAAACCTTGGAACAAAGGCTAGAGTCAGAGAGATTGTCTACATTGCAATTAAAAACCCATGGCTGGCCCCTGCCAACTAGCTCAGGCTCATGGGACTGTTTAATTGCGGTGTAGACATTTGGGCTCAGGCTGAGACCCTGCGAAGGGAAAGACCAGCCAAGGGCATCTAACTGCAGTGGGACTTAGGCATGTAACTGCCTCTTTAAAAATTGCAGCTAGGTGACCACAGATTGAGAATTTTGTGCATGTCTTGTGGGAAACCCAATTTCAAATCCCTCTCCTACCCGATTTGAAGCAGGGACTTGAACCTAACTTTTCCACATCCCAGGTGAGTACCCTAACCACTGGGCTATAGAGTCACTCTCTCTCTCTGGCCCAATGATTTAGAGAAAGTGGAAAAGTTTCACCATGAGAGATTGAGGAGCACTGCCAACAGTCTATCCATTAGTGTGCTCAACTGGGAGGTGGAGACCTGGGGTCAAGTCCAAATCAGATGGAGGAAGGATGTGAAAATGTCTCCATCTCCGGTAAGTGCCTTAAACACTAGGCTACTAGATGGACAGACACGCATGAAATTCCAAAGCTGTCTTTTGTGCAGAACCCAATCCTGTAAGCGTGCTCAGAGAACACCTCTGAAATTGGGTTCTGCCGGTAAGAGACAAGGGAATGCCTAGTTTGAGAATGCCACTGGGGCTTAGATATGAGCTAGGGCTCTGAGCAGTTAGTTTGCTGTGAGGTGGCACCAGCATTTAGGAAGACTTGTGCCTGCCTACTGGCAGAAACTTATGCACTATGGGGACTTTAGGCACCTACAGGGTTAGGTAGCAGCTGAGCAGTGGTTTTGAGAATGTCAGTGGCACCTAAATGTTGGACGTAGGTACCTAAAGAGGCAGCTAGGCACTTAGATCTTTGTGGATCTAGCCCCTATCCTTTCTGTTTCCCCATCTGTAAAATGGTGGAATAAGATTGACCTGTCTTAAAAGGACTGTGTGATGCTTAAAGTATTAAAACATTCTGGCTACCTTTGGATGAAAGGTTATATACATAAAGTGAATTTATAGTTAAGAATGCAAGGGTAAGATTAAAACTACTTCTAGTGCTACACAGGATTTCTCCCTCATTTGTGAGAACCTTTGATATTATCCTTCTTGCACTAGCTAGCCAAAGGTGACAAAAAATCATTGTCTTGAGATTATTGATTCTACTTTTGCAGCTTAGGGCAGAAATTCCATAGTTCATCACTCATTCACGGGGGAGAAGTACCTCATACAAGATTTTAAATCTGTAATTCACGGAAGAACAAAGACATTGGTAGCCCACATGCCTGAGATATCTCCTCTAGTAGATGGTTTGCTTAAGCGGTGCTTTTTGAGTATCAACTGAAGAATTAAACTAAAATTTCTTGACACTAGTCAGCTTATCTAATTGGTGCTTCTAAAAAAAAATGTATCTTGGCAGGTGCTGAAGGCTTCTGGCAATGGACCCAGTATGGTTTCACCATGCAAGGGAAGGCAAAATATTTCAGGTGGTAAGAGAGCCAGCATGGACCATGCACACTCTGCATCCAGCTCAGCTTTGTGGAGGTGCTTTGGTGCAAGCTGATGAAGGAATGGGGTTGGAGTAGCCTCCAGAGAACAACTTAACAGGTTGGTGGTGGAAGTCTTCTTCCCTCTTGATCTACTCCAGCTCCCTTGCCTCTGATGACCAATCTGTATAGTTTAACAAGCAAGAACTTGAGCCATATAAGAACCTTCCAAAGGGAGAACAGAGAGCAGTTCATTTTCTGTCACTGCCTATTAGCATGGAAGTAGACCAGACAGGGAATCAGAAATGGTGTGCTGGCTTGTGGTTAGGGGGGTTGTGTGCAGTAACAAAAGTCCCCTGGAAGAATTGGATCCTATATGAATTTACAGGCATAAGGTCCACCATATCTGCAAGAAAGTAAGTTTTGGGGAGACTGAGTTGAGATACAAACAAGAGCAACCTTTTCCTGTCTATTACAGCAATCTCTAATGAATATTCAGAGGATGAACAGGGCATCCATCCTATAATGGGGAAATAGATGTGGCCAGCATCTAGTTGGGCTCTCACACTGAAGGGTAACATAAGATGTGGTTTCCAACTGTGGTTGAAAGTTTAGTTAGAGAATGATAGAGGTCAGGAGGAAGGAAAAAAGCATTGAGAGTGATGCTCCTATTTAAGAATTCCTGACACCTTAGTTTTTGTTTCCACCATGTTCTCTGTTCAGAACTTTCGAACTATTGTAATAAAAATATTCTACATGTTGTAAATTAAATATTTATCATACCATCAAGAGAGTTTTTCATGTGGAACCACAAACTGAGCTTCTTGCCCACTGAAAAGGCAAGGAAAACCAGAACCTTACCTGTAAGCATAGGCGCCGACTCCATGGCTGCTCTGGGGCTCAAGCACCCATCAAAAAAAAAAAAAGGGGGGGGGGTACTCAGCACCTGCAGAGCCAGATTAAGCTTTTATGGGCCCCACCCCCATTCAGCCTCTTCCTCCCAAAGCCCCACCAACTGCTCTGTCCTGAAGGCCTGGCTGCTGCTCGCACGGAGGGAGCACCCACTGGCAAAAACATGAGTCAGAGCCTGTACCTGTAAGTCAGGTTTCTAGTATACCACTCTAGACATCTGGTTTGTCAGTGTATTTTATGCTCTGCAGGCAGATGTCACTGATTAGCATGGTAAATTTTCTGGCCCCATTCCAAAGCACATGCTATTTCTGTCATTCCCTCAAGTTCCTATGATGATTAGGTTATCGGACAAACTAGACAAATTTTCCTAAACAGACTAATGTATACATCCCCCAACAAAACAAAAAAAGGGGGGGGGAGGAGCAAATATAAAACTGACTGAACAAGTATTTCCAGGTGAGTTTTGCAAAAGCCCTGGGTTATATCCAAGGTCTACGGCTGGGATTTTTGAAAGTGGGTGAGTTAGGCATAGAAAGCTAATGGGAGTTATGTGTTTAATTCCTGTAGGCACATTTGAAAAACTCCACCCTAAGTTTCCAATTTCTATACCAATTTAGAGCAGCAGTGCATATAAAATAAATCCATATAGCACAAAAATGGACTTAAGTGTCACTTGTTCTGTAAGACCTCTAAGAGCCATACAGCTATATCACCTGAAGTCCTAACATCTAATTTGTAATAATGGTTACTGAGTAGTGAATAAATTTTCATGTAATTATCTTACTCATTCTTGAAGAGGCAGATTTTTTTCAGCCCACTGATCTAGCTGAATGGTCTTCACATCAACCTCTACTATAGGCTTCCTTAATGCATGAAGTAGTCAGTTAGCTCTGGAGTCTTGAATGATTTCACTTGTATTATATTTTGAAACAATTTTTTTTTCCAGACTGAACTTTCATTCTAATTGAATCTGAATTTTAAAACTTCTCTTTATCAGAAGGAAGAGGAGAACAAAGTGAGGGTAAGCAGATGTTCTTGTTTATACATTGTTTTTACAGAGTG